ATATAAAGTAAAAATATTTATTAAAATAAATATAATAATATACGATTATATTAATATAAAAATATAAATTTATAAAATTATAAATATTAATAAAATATTTATTCAATATACTATTATAATAAAAAGAAATAATTTTAATTTTAATTTTAATTTTAATTTATATTTATATTTTTAAATTAAAATAAATTAAATTAATATAATAAATAAATAATAATCAAATATTTTAATTTAAAAAACTAAATTATAAAATAATCTTTGTATATTATTAAATTATAATTATTATAATTAATATATTCATATATCTTTTTTCAAATATTTATTATTATTTTATATTAAATGTAAAATTATATTTTAAATTTATATTTATATATTAACATACTAATATTATTATTTTTTTATAAATATTTTAGATAATATTCAAATTAATTATATATTTCATAATTATTTTTTTATCATTATGATTTGTTAAATTTTTATTTTTTTCTTATTTATATATTTTTAAATAATATTCTATTAATTTAATATATTTTTTATTTTTATTTTCATTTTTTTTAAAATTATAATTTTATATAATTTTTTTTTATATAATTTTAATTAAAAAAATATATGATATTTTTTTTAATTATAAAAATTCTGTTTTTTTGTTTAAAAATAATAAAAAGAATATGGGTGCATTATTTAATGTTATATATTCAAATTTAATACTTATGTTTTATGCATCTTCAGCTAATGCAGGATTGGGAATTATAAGTTAAATATTTGATTAAAAAGAATATTTGAATTTAGGAAATACATCTTTATTTATAATATATTTTACTTCTATGATAAATAGCATATTAGCTCCTATGTATATTAAAAAATTTTCTTGGAATTATGTATTTACTTTAAGTTCCTTAGGTTATATATTTTTTTTATGTTAAGGTATTTTGGTTTGTAGCTGTAAAACTAAAACATAATATTTTTATTGTAGTACTCCTATTATGTATGTTATTATTGTTATAGGATCTACTATTTGTGGCTTATTAGCATCTATATTATATTTAGCATAAAATTAATATTTGTCAGAAAATACATAAGATAATAATAAAAGCTTATATTTTGGAATTGGCTGGTCATTATTGTAATCTTCATATATAATAGGAAATATTTACTCAGCTTTTTTAATATAACCTTTAGGATAATATAATTATTTTATCTTAATGACAGCAGTTAGTGGAGTTTCAGCAATTTTTTTTATTTTTATAAAATCGCCACCTATTTAAAGTTAATTATTGGTTAAAACTTAGAATGATTTTGATTAAGAAAGAGTAATAACTAATGATCAGACTTTTATCGTTGAATAATTTTATTAATTAGAATTAAAAGTTTAAATTAAAAGTATGATATAATTAATAAAAACAAAATAAATTAGACCTTTACTTTTTTATATGTTTTCTAGTGGAATTATTTTATCATTTGGAATGAGTGTTTTGAATAGAATTGTTAAAGAAACTCTTCCTTAAAATGAATCTGATGAATATATTAACAAAAAGACTTTTCTTGTTATGATTACTTTAGGTGTTTTTGAAGTTATTGGAGGGTTAATAGTTACTCCATTGGCTGATAAATATAATAAAAAAAATATAGCCTTATTAACTAATATATTATATCTTTGTGCAATCGTTTCTACTATAATTACTCATTATTAAGGCAGTTATACTCTTTGTTTTATTACTGGAGCTTTATGGGGAATGACTGATTGTACAACTTAAAGTATGAATTGTAATTTACTTTCAACTATTTATGATAATGATGTCAGAGTTTTTGGAATATGGAATGTTTTTTAAAATATTGGTAGTTTACTTGGAATGATTTTTTCTATTATTTTTAAATAAATTAATATTGTTTATTACCTTTTGATAATTTTATTAAATTAAATTATAACTAATATGATGATTTCGTAAATAAAATTAAAAAAAAGTAAATAATGAGTTGAGAAATTCAAAACTAAATTAAGATTAAAGAAATATTAAAGCAACATATTAGTTGAGAAAAATTATTGATTAAATATATAAATTTTATTTTATTATTTTGTATTTTGAATTTTTTTATAATTCAAATATTTATATTTTGAAATTTTTTAATTAATATATTATATTTATTATATTTATATATTTTTTTTTTTTTTTATTATATTATTAAAATTATAATTTTAAATTATTAAATGTTAATAAATATGTTATTAAAAAGGCAATATTAATTTAAAATTTTTGATTTCTATTATAAAATAAATTTATTTTTGTAAAATTATATTATTTAATTTTATTTATAAAACAAAATAAAAATATATTTTATTTTTCAAGCCAGTTTAAAATTAGTTTGTGAAAGCCATTTATCTTTTTAACAATCTCTAAATTAATAATTATGATAAAAATTAATTTTTGTTCCTTTGTTAAAATCTGATTATTTCTTATATACATTATTCACATTATATTAAGTTTATCCGACCCTAAAATCCTTTTCTCCAATAATTTTTTTATTTTTTTCTTTTTATTCTTTTATGTAAATTTCTTCTTAAGAAACATACGGAGTATTAACAAAAAGCTATTTCTAAATAAATAGATATATAAATTTATACATATATAATCATAAAAAAAAAATACAAATTCTCCAAAATATTTTCCTTTAGCAGTACAACTTTTTACAAGTCCTTAATTCCTTGAATTATGTAATTTAGTTTTAATTTTATTTTAAATTTTTTTGGGCTATTATTTTTTGATTAATGATTATTAGAAAGATAACCAGGTACCCACATTTTACTATAATCGATTAAATCATAAGGAATATTAGGATGTAATTATCTTCTAATACCTCCTGTAGTAAATAATTAATCGGGATTAATTCTACTTTATCTGCAATAGGAACCTCTTTTATTAGATTGTCGTCTAAATTCTAAATTTTAATTATTTTCTGTTTTCATATTTTTTCCTGTTTGCTCATCATTATTTATATTTGTATTATTAATCTCTATTATATTGTTTTAATTTGATTAATTAATTATATCAGATGCTGGTTCTGAAATTTAATCATTGGGATTATAATCAGTTGTATATTATTGAATTTTAATATTTGGATTCTCTTTCATTTTTAACTTTTTGCTATTTACTGAATTATGGTAAACATATTAAGGAACTTTTTACTTTTTAGCAGAAAATCCTACATGTAAAAAAACATCACTTTTATAATATTTTTATTCAGCTTTTTTATTTATTAATTTTATACACGTTATATATATAAATAAAATAGAATACCTGAATCAATTTATGCAAAACCTATTTGTTAAGTTCTTTTATTTAAAAGCACAAGAGCTGTTCTTTTTTATTTTTCTTTTTATCTTCTTAATATTTCTTCAACTGTAGACTCTTTGGCTTAGTAAGTATAAGAAGAAATACTAGGATATATATTTGATTATTAAGATTTTATTTTTCTTAAAGTATTCCATATAAAATTTATTAAACTTTACGTAGTATTAGGATATTTGGTATATATACCAAATAGTACACCTAAAGTATTCTCCATCTCAATAACAATAGGGCCCCTATCAGAATCTGCTAATACTTTGAAATGCTTATGAGGATTAATAAATGAAAATGTATGAATATCCCAACTATTTTTTAACGGAATTATAAATTCATCATCCATTCCTTAAAATGCCCAATGGTGCATGTACATTTTTTTTATTACACACATACATTCATCATTTCTTGATTTATACAAAGTATATTTTTCCTTATGTTAAGTATTTGCTTTATATACAGGAGCTTTTACTATGAATTTGCCAATAGATTAAAATTCTTGTGCAGAACGTCTATAATGTAAACCACAATTACCTTTTGGAATCCATTCATTCGTTTCATAATTGAAACCATATAAATCACCTGTTGTATTATCTAAATAATAATCATTTGGCTATATATTTTTCAAATCCTTTTTATTATTATTATTATTATTATTATTTTAAAAAATTTACCTTATTCATAATATGGATTTCACTTAATTTTCCACCGTTATCACCTCCATTTACTATTTATATGTTTTTTTCTATGTTAGATGCACATAAAAATATTAAAGCTTACATAGCCCAAGATGATGTATATAAATATTTTTTTACTTTTAAACACATTCTAAGAAGAGTAAGAATCTTTTTATTTTTATATTATTTTTATTTAAAGCAAAAAAAAAATTGTAACTAATATTACTTTTCGCATTTATATTGACCAAGGTCTAACATTTGCATCCCCTATTATAAATATCATATCTAGTTAGTCAAAATTATTTGCTGCTTCTTTTTTTAAATATGAGCTTTCTATTTCATACAAGTAATCATCTAAATTATTTTTATCTCTAATAAAAAATTCAGTTTCAGTGTCAACTAATTCTTTTTATTCTGTCATAACCTAAAAATTTTTTTTAAAAAAATAAAATTTAAAATATATTATTTATGATTAAAATAAAGGTATTTTACCTTCATAATTAAATAATGAAAATCGGCAAATTTTTTTAGTCCAGATTTATTGCTGCAATATCCATTTACTATTAAAATTCGCATTTAAAAAATATAGACAATATATTTTAAATAAACAAAAATAATAATATTGTATTTGAAATTTAATATTTTTTTTATAAAATTAAAAAAATTTTATAATAAAATTTTTTTTTTATATAATATACTTTTCAAAAAAAATTAAATTAATTTTTATATTTATGTTGTATATTTAAGAATATTTAAATAAATTTACGGATTTACCGATAAATTTTGAACCTTATTTGAATAAACTAAAAAGTTTAGAAAATTAAATCAATGTAAATAGTTTTAAATTACAAGAAATGCAAGAAGAACATTTAAATAATATAAAATAAGGAACTGAAAAAGTAATTGATTATAAAAAAATGAAATAAAAAAAAGATCTGATTGATTAAATACAAGGTGAATTAGAATATTTAATATAAGAAAAAATAAAATTAGTTGATTAAATGGATTTAATTGTTAATCAACATATTAGTGTAGTAAATAAAGAATTTAAATAAATAGAAATATAATAAAAATAAAATTAAGATAAATAAGCTTAAATAAATAATAATAGTTAATATTAGTAAAATATAGTAAAAAAATAAATCAAAATTGATCAGAAAAGCAAAGAAAAAATGCAAAAATAATAAAAAAATGTTTAAAAAACAAAAGAAATAATATATTGTATATGTAGAAGACCATTTTACGGATAAATGTATAAAATTAAAAAAAAAATATAATAAATAAATAAATAAATAAATAAATAAATATATATATATATATTTTTTATTTAAATATATTTCTATATATATATATATATATTTAATTTCTATATTTAAATACATAATTATATAATAAATATAAAAATTTTTAAAAATATATATATTTTTTTTCAATACATATCATTTTTATTATTTAAAATATTTTATATTTTGGATGTTTTATTATATATTTTTGTTTAATTCTTTAAATTTTTCTATCTTTTTTTTTATTGTTTTATATATATAAAATTTCTTTATATATATATTTTCAATAAAATAATTTATTAAGGGTTGGTTGTGATGGTTAAAATTGTGATAAAGAATGGTTTCATTATGAATGTGTTGGTCTTTAAGAAGCTCCTGAAGGTATATGGTTTTGTCCTGATTGTTTAAGAAAACAAAAAAAATATTTTATTCTTTGATAAATTAATAATTTTTATTTATTTATTATATATATATTATTTTATTTAAATTTGATAAAATTTTTTTTTTAATAATTATTTTATAAAAAAATATTAAATATATTAATATAGTATTAATTTTAAATAAATTAAATTTCAATTATCCCAATATACTTTGCCTGTAATAATATTATAAAAATCATCAATAGTAACATATCCATCATCATCCAAATCTGCTTTTTTAAACATTTTCAAAAGTTCATCATCAGTCATTTCTTCTCCAAGATCAACAGAAATTTATTTTAATTCATTAACAGAAACTCTGTTATTTTTTTTCAAATCAAACATGTTAAAAACTTTCTAAACTTCTTTTTTGGAATCTTTATCTGATATTTTACTTGTAGAAATTTTTAAAAACTCTTCGAATTCCATTCCTCGACTATAATCATTTTCTAACTCAGATAAAATATTATTAATTATTTTTTTATTTCCTTTAAATTCTAAATTTTCAAAAACAACTCTTAATTCTGATGGATTTATTTTTCCTGAACCATCTTCATCAAATAAATCGAATGCTTATTTTAATTCTTTTATTTCGTCCTCTAGTAAACCTATCCTTTCATAATCTTTTGCGTTAAATTAAGTTTTTAGTATTTATTATTTTGATTTCATTTAATATTTTAAATAATTTTTAAATAACTAAAAAATAAAATATTGCTTATAAATTAATAATATATTTATATATATGAATTAAATATATATTATATTATAATTAAATAAAAATTCTATAGATATTTATTAAATAAGTTTTTTTATCATAATTTTATAATTAAAAATGTAAAAAAAATTTTAAATATGAATATATAAAACCTTTATTTAAAATAAAAAAAAAAAGGAAAATGAGAAAAAAAAATTAAAATTAAAAAAATTCTGTCTTCTCAGGATTCCGATAATTCTTACCGACTTAAAATTTTTAAAAAATTATCTTAAAACTGTAAATTGTTTGATAAATTTCCTTTTATAAAAAAAGCAATAATTCTATTAAAACAACTGCTATTCTTCTCAAAAAGAAAACAAAAAATCACCTTAACTAATATAAACAAATTAAAATGATAATCTGCTGTTTCTAACAATAAGGATTTTTTAAATATGGAAACTAATGTAAATACCTGCACTTCATGCTCAAATAAAAAATTAATCTTAATAAAAATTTCTATAATTAATAATAATAAAAACTAAGAACATTAATATAACTACAAAAATTAAACAAAAAAGGAAAAATAGACAAAATATTGTAAATATAGTAGATATAGATATAAACTAATAGGATATTGTAAATATAAAAAAAAAAAATTATCAGTATAGATTCACATAAAACTATTATGATAAAAGATATTCAAGAAAAAGTAAAATTAAGGTATAAAAAATAAATTTCCAGGTAAATTTTAAAAAATATATATAATAGAAAAAGCAAAAAAATAATTTAAGAAAAAAATATAAAAAAAAGAAAATAAATAGATAACGATTAAAAATAATATAAATTAGAAAAAAAAAATTTATAATTATGTAAATAAATATATATAAATATATATATATATATATATATATATATATATATAGTTATACATATATATATACATATATTTATAAATATATATTCTTCAATTTTTTTTAATTGATTAAGAATTATTTTAATTTTTTATAATATATTTCTAATTTTTTTGTCTTATTTTTTTTTTTATTTTTTTCTGCTATCAATTTTTCTTTATTTTCTAGTTATTTATATTTTGATTTTTATTTTTATTTTCTAATATCTATTTTTTTTTATATTATTTTAAATGTTTTTTTTTTTACATATTTTAATTTATATTTTTCTTACTTTTTATGAAATATTATGATATAATATAAAATTTAATATTATTATTTGGCATAAATTTATTAAATAATTTTAAAAATAATAATCTTTTATTATTTACCATTAAATCCTTATTCATAATTTTTTTTCATTAGTTTCTATTTATCTATGTTTATAGTTCTTTTTCTATTTAAATTAACAACAGAACAACAGATTTTTTTAATATAATATATTACTATTCTTTAGTTAAAATTTTCGATAGCAATTAAGATATAAACTTTGCTCTGTCAATCCATTCAAAGAAGTATTTCTATTTTTATATATAAAGTGATAAATTATAAATTTAATTTATTATATTTGAATTTAAGTTATTTATTAAATACTTTGGCTTAAATTTTAATCTTTTATTAGCCCTATCTATTTTAAATTGGTTATGTATTATTTTTTTAGAATAAATTAAAAATATAAAAGATCAATAAAAAAAAAATATTGAAAATGAAAAACTTATTATTATTAAATTTTTTTATTTATATAAAAATTATTATATAAAGAAAATATTTTGTAATATATAAATATAAAAATTAAATATTTATTTTTTCATAATTTATTCAAAAACATATTAATATATTATTTGTTTATTTCATAAATCTTTTACATTTTATTATGAAAAATAATAGATTTAGACAATCAGTTAAAAGTTTTGAATATTTGACTAAATAAAAAAATAAAATTAAAGATAATTATTTTCAAAAGAAAGAATTTATTTTAAATTAAATAAATCCAACCCTCAGAAATGCAAAACCTTCTACTTTTTAAATTTTTTCCTTGGGATTATTTATTTCAGCAGCTATTATTTATAAATCATTATGTAAATAAAAAATTTTATCCAAGTTTTTATATAAAAAATAAATAAAAAAGATTCATTTTGAAGAATATTAAAAAAGAATTAAAATATTTTTTCTTTTTATAAAAAATGGTTAATAAAATAAGATTTTATATACTCTTAATTTTTATTTTATATGTTTAAAGCAAAAGATAAATAAATATATATAAAATTATTATATTTTTGTATTTTTTGTTATTGGAATTAAACTATTTATTTATTCATTATTTTTTATAATTTTTTTTGGATTTTTATTTCATTCTTTCTTAAATTTTTTATTGTAAATTTTATATTTATTCAATTATTTATCCATCTGCATAATCATACAATTCTTTTATTTCATCTTCATTAAGGTCTAAAAAATAAATATTATATATATATATTTATTAAAATATTTTTTTTTATTTGCCTTCTATTAATTCTTAGGCTGTATTTTTTAAATATTCTTAATTAAAAGTTCCATCTTCATTAATAAGGTCTTATAAAGTGTTGTCACTAATATCAAATTCATCAAAGTCTAAATTTTCAAGGTCAATATCTTTAACGTCTATTTTCATATCTTAAATATTATATTTCAAAGAATCATTTATAAATTATTTTAATTCTTGCTAATCAATATTTTCTAAATCTTTTTATTATTATTATTATTATTTATATAGAAAGAAAAAATATTTAAATAAAATTTATGAAATAATTTAACCTTTAAATTTTTCATATAATTAATTTAAGGATTTATAACTATTATAATGTTTATTTTATTATGACTTATGTTGTTTGTTTTCTTACTTTTAATAATCTTAAGTAATTTTATATATTTTTTAATCATTTGAATATTTTAATCCTTTTAAATCTTTTGTATCTTCTAAATTTTTTTAATTATGTTTTGGTTATAAATTATCAGTATATTTATCTTATTATATTGAAACATCTTAATCTATTAATTTTATTTTTTATTTTATTTTAAATTAAATTTTAATTTTATTTACATTATTTATTTATATCTTAATTATTTTATAGTTTTTCATCAACTTAAGTATTTTTATTTTAATTTTATAAAGGTTATTATTAACTATTTTATTTATCTACTTTATTAATTTTATCTTAATTAGTTTTTTAATATTATACATTAATCTCATTTTAATCATTCTTTTAGATTTTTTTTTTTTAAAAAAAAAATATTTATAATAAAAATAAATAATAATAATAATAATAATAATAATAATAATAATAATAAATAATAATAAATATATATATATATATATATTTATATATATATATATATTATTTTAAATGCAAACTTAAATAATATCCTTTTTTTCTTTATTTTCTTATTGTTATATTTCAGGTTTAACAGTTGTTAATTAAATAGTAAGTTTTTCGTTATCATCAGCTTTGAATGTATATTAAGTATTCTTGATTTTTTCTATTTAGTCTTTAAAATTAGAAGTATACATTCCCAGGTTTTTAAGAAAATTTTTTAAATCATTTAAATTAATATATTTTATGTTTGAATTTTTATTATTATTTTGATCTTTATTATCGTTCAAAAATTATTTCAGTAATTAATTAAATATTTTAACATTTTATTCTTGAGCAGATTTTTAAATTTTTAAATCGAGAATTTGTTTATCTAAATCTTCCTTTTTTATAGAAAAAATAACATTATCTAAATCAATATTTGAGCTAAAAGAAATTTTATTTATACATTAAGAAGATGCTTCGAATTCTGTTTTTATAAAACTCTGTTTATTGAGCATTTTAGTAAAAAAACTTTCCGAAAAGACCTAAGTATCATTTAAAAAGCCTTTAATTGTTGCTTATTTACCTTTATTAATTCTAATAAAAGTACTTTTAATAAATAAGCAATGAGAAAAGGAAATAATTCCTTCTAAATCTTAAGTTTAAATGAAAATTCCATAAGGATTTTATTCTAAGATATCTTATTTGGTAAATATATTTAAGTCTTTTTGATATTATTTTTTGAAATACTACTTTTCTTGGTCTTAATTTGATGATGGTAAATGAAAATTGTCAAATTTAAAAATAAAATATTCCGGATATATATCTTTTTATAAAATGAGCATATTTTAACTTGTTTTTACATTTACAGAAAGGTATTTTGTTAAATTTTATTCATTTTCGAAAATTTCAAAATCTAAAAAGAATTCCAAAAAAAGGTTTTTTTCATATTTATTATACATGAAATTCTCATCTATTATATACCTTTGTTTATCTAGAAAAAAAACATTAGGTAAAAAAGAATTAGATTGAAATGAATTTATTTTATTTTAAGCCTCCTTTTGGAATAACTATACATTTTATAATTTAAAATCTTGCAGTTATTAATCAAAATATACATCAATTGTTTTATTATTCACTATTTTACAATAGGGGCCTTCATGAGAGAAGCAAATACGATCTTAAGTCAGTTTTTATTGTTTGAATGTGTAATAGTAATAGGGGTTTGTATCGATTTTTATATCGAATTTTTTTTAAAGGAACTCTGAAGGCTCCAATAAGATTTTTGATAAGGAAATTTTATTTATTTATATTAGTAAAATTATTAGTATAAATTAAAATATCATTTTTATTTATTATTTTTTTAATTAAAAAGAAAAATATTAATTTTTTTTACTTTTATTTATATATATAGCTTTTTTTTATTTATTTTTTTCAATTGTTTCGGAATATATTTATTATTTTTTTAAACACATTGTCGTTTTTTTGCTCAAAACTTAGCTTTTCTGTTGAAAAAGAGTATACTTATAAAAATAAATATCCCATTAAAACACATGTAAATGTAATAATGTTAAATGGCATAGAAAAATCGGGTTCAGGTAATTAACAAATTACATTTGGGGCAGTTTCAAAGTCTTTAAAGCCGTCTTCAGTTTAAAAAAATACGGGAACTGCTATAATATCGTGTCCTCTTTGAGGATCATGGTTATAGTTTTCAAAAGATTTCATCATTTTAATCAATGGGATTATTATTTAGATTTCTTGTAGAGGTTAAAGGGTTGTTTGGAGAGAAAAAAGGAAACTTTGATTAACAAAATGGTCTACTTTAAGAAGATTGGGATTATCTTTTAAAATGTTACGACCGGAAAGTGAATCTATGACTTAGATTTAGTGAAAAATAGGGTAAAAATAATATTAAAGACTTTCATAAGTAGAAATTTTAAGATTTTTTTAGGATAAATTTTTAATTTTATGTACTAATGTGTCCTTATGTGAAAACCACTTTTCTTTCATAAATCTTAAATTTTTTATTATTTTAAATTATTTAATTTAAGTTTATATTTCTTGATTTTTATTTAATATTAAATTTTCAAAATCTTTAAAAGGAATTTCATTTTAATATTATTCAATATTAAAAAAGATAGAATTTCCCTTAAAAAAATATAATAAAAATAGAATTAAAAATATGTTTTGATAAGTTTATAAGTAAAATAATATAAAAAAAAAAACTAAAAAAAAATAATAAATATTTATATAATATATATATATATATATATATATTTATATATATAAATATTTATATTTTTATATAATTATACGTATTTAATTTAAGATGATTAAATTAATGGACATATTTTTAATTTCTTATTTAAAGATATTGAATAATTAGCTATTTCATTTTTTAAAACAGCAAAAATTTATAATAGAAAATTTACTTTTTTATTATCATCTTATATTTTTATTTCTAAATTTATACCTACATATCGGCTTTTAAATATATTAGTTTCTTCTAAAATATCGAAAATTCCCTTTTTTCCACTACATGGTAAATATTTTTTCAATTTTTTAATATTGTCGCTACAAATGAATTCTGTTGGATCTTAAGCATATAATATATTTTCCTCTCCGGTATGAAAATAGTTTGTTGATTTTAAATGCTTTACAGTAAATTTAAACATTTCGCTTAATGTTTAAATACTAGCTTCGTATACTACGTTTTTATTCGGGTCTTATATTATTACTTCGACACCATTTTCTGGAAATTTATAATTGAAATTACCTAATAGATTATTGAAAGAACCTAATGCAGCTTTTATCTTAAAATCTCTAGTATTTGATTATACTAAATTGTCTAAATGTGTTCTTGAAAATATGTAATTGTCGGATATTAATGAGTCAAGATTTATCTAATGTGAATAGTTTGATTCGAATATTAATAAAGTTAAATTTGGATTTGTTGTGGGTTCGAATGTTAAAGATTCTTAGATATTTGAAGTACAGTTTGTTATTGATAAAAGTAAAATAAATATTGATATTTTATTAAAGATATTTTTCATGTTTTTTTTTTTGTTTTTATTCAAAGATTTTATAATATTATATATATATATTTTTTTTTTATAAAAATATAAAAAACTTTTTTATCTTTATTTTGACAAAAAAAATTAAATTAAAATTTTTAATGTTTATTTTTTTGATTATTATAATATATTTTTTTTTATTATTATTTTTAATAAAAAATTAGGCAATATTATATATATTAAATTTAAGGAAAATATCAAAATTAAGTTTGCTTTTCATCCTTTAGTTTAATATATTTCCGTTTGATCATTTTCAGAATAAAGAAGTCTATTTCCTTACAAAAATCTATCAAAATCAACTAATTTCCAATCATTATGGATTCTATAAAGTTTTAACCTTATATATATTTTTTTTTTTATTTTTTATTTTTTTTTTTTTTTAAATAAAACCATTCAAGGTAAGTAGTTTTTAAAGTAGAAAATTTAGGGGGATTTCTAAGTTAGTTTTCAAAAACGGCTGTATGAATATAAGTTTCTGGTTTTTCCGAAACTATATTTCCATTAGAATCTTCAATTTAAACAATATATTTATTATAACTTTTGACATGAACCCTTAGTATTAATTTATTATTTTCATCTCTAATCATTTTAGGGTCTAAAATATCATTTTATTCTAATTCTTGAGGGTCAAAATCTTTCAAAGTAAACATAAGAATGCCTTTTTCTTCTAAATCTCTATTAATATCATAATCTTCAACGTTTTAATTATAAGCACGGTTTGAATTAAGGCCTATTATATGGGTAGTTTCGAAAATAGAAATTTCCTTTTTTTTAGAAAGTAAAGCAGAGTCTTCTTCTTTAAAGTGGACTTTATATCCATTGTTTTTTAATATTTCTAATGATTATTTAACTTTTAGGAAAAAATTTAATTCCATATAAGGAAATTCCTCATCATTGTTTGATTGTAAACCTTTCATAAACCACACCATTCTTCTATTTAAATTTTTTAAAAATTCTTCATATATTTCAGGTGGGCTGTTTTTAATAATCATATTATCGTGTTCTTTTTACTTTTTTATTTTTTATTTTAAAAATATATAAAAATATTATAATTATTTACTATAGGAAGAAAATCAGGCATTCCTCTAAAATTATACGGAAACTTGACTTCTTTAAAAGACTTAATTTTAATATTTTTGAATTAATTGCAATAATCATCTAGTGTAAATAATTCTATTAATTTTTTATAATTTTTGCAAATTTTTTATTTAATTAAATATCTAAATAATTTACTTTTTATTATTTATTATTACTACTTTCTTGTTAATGTTCTAATACTTATTTGGCAGCTGTTTAGAAAAATCTTTTCAATTTCATTTATTTTATTTTTAATATATAAAAGATATTTTGTATTTATATTAATTTTATATTATATTTTTTATATAAATTAATTAGTAAAAATTATATCATATATAAATATTATAATAACATAAAATTAAAAAAAATATATTAAAAGAATATATAAATAAAAATAAAATATAAAATTATGATATAAATAAATATATTAACAAATATATATATATATATATATATATAAATATATATATATATATATATTTAAATATTAATGTTATAAAATAAAATTTATATATTTTCTAATAGTAAATATAAATATTAATTTATCAATATAATAATTAACTTAGTATATATTCTGCTTTTTAACTAACTATTTTGTTTATACTAATAGTTGTAATAATATATACTATATTTTTGATTTAATTTCTTAATTCAATATTAATTACACTTTGAAAAATATTTTAAGCATTATCTAAAAATGTTAATACAAGAGTCATACAATATTATTATTAAATATTAATATATTCTAAAAAGTCTACACAATTTTTGAAAAATTAATAATCAAATTAAGTAGTTAAATAAAAATTTTAAATTGTCAAAATAATATTATTTTACTATTCTATTATTAAATATGGAAATTCTCGAATATATTTAAGTTGATCTAAAAATACTTATTGATTATATTTTTTAAGCCATAACTTAGTTTAATTAATGTTTTATTCTATTTAATTATTCCCAATATAGGACATTTACATTATAAAAAATTAAGATTAATTATTTTAATGTTATTCTTTATACTAAATATTTGCTTACTATAATAATTTTAAACAGTTTTATATTAAAGAATTTATATTTATTAAAAGTATATTTTATAGTTTTTAATTATTTTGAATTTTAATTAATTAAAACTTAATGGATTCGTTAAATAAATTTATTATACTTACATTATTATTAGTGAATGGGTTTTAAGTTTGTTCCAGTATTTTACAATAATAATCAAAGGCATATTAACAAACTTTTTCATTTTAATCGTCAAAAAAAGAACAAATGTAAGGTAATATATTCTCAAAAACTAAATTATCGTTAATGTATAAGGAAAAAATGTATAGTAATTCTAAACCTAGCAATTTATTTTAGACATATTTAACGTTTCGAATGTTTGAGCAAATTAAATTAGCTATGAGAATAAGTTCATCGGAAATTAAAGCTTTGTCTTTTTATTAAATTTTAGAATTTTTTTATTTTTCGATTTCTTTTAAAATTAAATAGGATTTTTAACATTAGTTTGTTTTCTCAATGTTTACATATAATTAATGATTTTGATTTAATTAAGATATATGTTAATAAAAATTATTAATATTATTATTATTATTATTATTATTATTATTATTATTATTATTATTATAATTTAAATTATTTATATTATTTAAATTATTTATATTATTTGGATATTAGTATTTTGTTATTTTTTCTAAGGATAAATCATTTTTATATTCTTTAAAATTTTATACATAATTTATAAAAAGATTAAAGAAATCCCTATATTTTAAAGGAATAAAATTGAGTATTTTTTATTAATTTCCTAAAGGTATAAAAATTCCCATAATTGAATTTAACAGATGCAAAATAACTTCAATTCTATCATCTGGAATACACTCATTTTATTATACGAATTTTATGAAGTCTTGGCTTTCTAAAAATGAATATAAATAAAACGTATATAAATATTTTTCTTTGTCCTCTTTTAATACTTCAGATAAAAAATAGTTTATTATAAAATCTATATTTGGTCTTTTTCTTTACGGTTATCTTTGTTTTAATAAAATTATTTGCTCTACTAAATAACTTAAAGTTAATAAAGGTATTTTACATATATTTTCAGCTGGATCATATTTTTTTCAATAAATTCTTGTAATTCTTTAAACTAAAGAGATATTTTTTCCCGTTTTCTTAAAATAGTTCATATATTACACATCCCAAACTAAAAATGTCCATTTATTTTAGAATTTCGATATCTGAGACATTTTATATTTAAGATTCATATATAGATTGATTATGAAAAATGATTTTCTCAGGTGCAAAACAGCAATTTTTTTAGATATTATTATAAAATAAATGTAATAATGAATGTAAATTTTCAATATGTATAAATTTAGGTTTAAAATAGGCAATATCAGATAAAAAAACATGATTAGAAGTATTTAATAAAATATTAGAAGATTTAATTTAGCCATGAAATTAATTATTTTTATGAATATGCTATATGGCCAACATAGTTTAGAATAAAATAAATATTTTTTAGCAATTATTTAAAGAATTCAATTAATTTAATTTATCACGCAAAGTAGTATGGAATTATTATCTTGATAATATTAAATATTCCTCACAACTAGTTATTATTAATGTTTTTGCAATATTTGGGTGTGTTGGGAGTTATTATTAATCTATGGATGGTTTATATAATAAATAATCAATTTTTTTTAGTTCTTCGTTTATTTCTTCAGAATATTATTTTATTTTTAATATCATGAAAAATCCACTATTTTATAATTAATATGACTGGGTCTTTTAAAGCTTATTTTCAATAAATTAACGGGTATACTATAAGTTTAAATTTTATTTTAGCCATTGTTCTGGAGTGTAGGTTTTAGGCTTTTCTTTTTAGTTTGATAAACCCATAGATATTTTTGTTTAGTTTATTATATATATATTTATATTATATTATATATATTTAATTTTTTAATATTATTTTATGTATATTTAATATTTTTAAGGTTTTTCTTTTTATATATTTTTCTTAGAATAAAATAATTTAAGGTTTTTTGATTGTTTGTGAAATAATAATATATAATATATAGTTATTAAAAATTTTGTAAATTATATAAAATATTAATTATATTGTAAAATATAAATATATTAATAATATAATCAATTAAATCTATTTTTTAATTTCTAGAAATATTGCATTTAAGAAAAATCAATTTTCCAAGTGTCAGGAGCAAAAACTGCAAAAGTAACACCTAAAAGAGATCCATATATACCAAATCTAAGCATATTTTTTAATTTAAGATGCCTGACTCTTTTTTAAAATCTCCAGTATTTATTATAAATTGCTTTAGGTAAACCAACACCTACACTTCCAATTACAAATCCTTTAAGAGAATAATCATATATTTATTCTTTAATTTATTAAATTTTTTAATTTAAAAGTGCTTTTTTTCTTTCTCTTACTGATAAATGGTTCATTTCAGTAATTTTTTCTGAATTTTAATTATCTAATTATTAATAAATTTATTTATAAGAAAATTATTTTTAGTAATTATTTTCCATTTTTTTGTTTAATTAAAAAAAAACTTTGGATTTAATTTTAAATCAATTATTTTTATTTTATTAATTTCTTTTTTTTTATTAAAAAAAATAAAAGAAAATTAATAATTAAATTAAAATTAAAATCCATATAAGTATTTCATATATATTTCATTTTTTTTTATATATATAAATAAAAGAAATTTAGACAAAGTCTTTTTTATATAACAATTATTATAAATAATAAGTACTTGATTATTTTATAAAATACAATATAATCTTCACTAGAAGATAAATAAATAAAAAATAAACAATATTAATAAGTTTAAAAAAAATAAAATACAACTTAAGTATTATTAAATTATTAATTTATGAATAAGAAAGAAAAAAATGAGTAAATATATCAAAAAAAATATAAATTTTATTTATAAAATATAGATAAAACATCCCAAAAATTATATAAAAAAATAAATATTTGAAAATATAAATTAAGAGTCAAAAAAATAATATAGAATTATTAAGCACATATATAATAAAAAAAGTGAACTAAAATCAAATTTTCATTTAAAATATTAAATAAAGTAAAGATACTAAATCGAAAAATGAGAAAAATCATCATTTAGAAAATAAAAAATCCCAAAATATAAATTGAAAGAAAAAAAAGAATTAATATTTATATAAAATTATTATATAAAAAAGGCTACTTTATGTAATATTATTAGACTAAAATTTAATTTTTTTAAATAATGGCTTCTTTTTTTGCAGCGAAAATATAAAATTTAAAAAAATGCAAAAAGTGGATTTCATCAATTTTTTTCTTAAAAAATAGCATTTTTAGTATTCAAAAAGGTCTATATTGCTTTAATAATTATTAATAATAAGATCTTATATTAATTTAAATCGCAAGAATATTAAAAAATTAGGTAAAATTTTAAATTATAATAGTGCAAGATAGGATAAAAGTTCTTTAGTTTAAAAATAAATAAATAAATAAATACATTTGTTTAGAAAAAGATAAATAAAATATTTTCAAATATAATAAATTTTAAATAAAAATTTCCTATTAATAAAAAAGAAAATGAAATTTCGGATATATTATAATTAATATTATAAAAAGTATTTTTTATAATTATTACATCTAATAATAAAATATATATTTTTTGTTATAATAATTATTAAGTATAAGATAATTTTTAATATATTTATAATTTTAATATAGCTGGAATAACTACTCAAAAATTCTAAAAAGTAATAATTTATTTTTATTTAAATAAAATATTTTTATTTTTGTTTATAATTATTATTCATTTTAATATTATCACAAAAATAAAAAATATAAAATTATAAAATATATAAAATATATATTATATGTAAAAATATAAAAAAACGAAATATATTAATTTTATATATAGATATATATTACAAAAATTAATTTAATATTTGTTTTTTTTTTTATGATTAATATTTTACGTTTTTTATTTTTTATTTATTTAACTATATTATTTATTTTTTTACAAACAAATAAAAAAACAAAACATTAAAATTAAAATAAAAAATAAAAAAAAAAATAAGATTTATTAAAAAAAAAAAAAAATATTTAATAACATTTATCAATAAAGATTATTAAATATTAATAAAAAGTAAAAAAATAATAAAATAATCTTCACCAGTTTAAAAAAGGATCCTCGTTGCTTTTGATAGCTTTAGGTAATTCAGTAGAATCAGGATAACTTCCATAATTAGAAGTATCATTTTTGCCTTTAATAGCAGGTTTATAAATAACAGGTACTTTTTTTTAATTTAAAGCGTCCCAATCAATATCTCCAAACATTCTATGAGTTTTAATATCATTAACACCTAAAAATTAATATATGTATTATTATTATTAAAAATATAAAAAACCTCCTTTTAAGTTTCCATATCTTTTAGTTAAATCAGCAACTAAAAGATGTTTGACTAAACTTTTAGCGTTTCTATTAATTTTTTTAAATTATATTTAAAAATTGTAAATGTATAAAAAAAAGACTTATCAAAGTTTCTTGGAAATTTAACTTTTCCTTTTAATATTTTTTGATATATAGCCATTGGATCTTCATCATTAAATGGATCAATACCTTTAAATATTAAAAATAATATATATATATATATATATATATATATATATATAAATATATATTTATATTTTTATTTATATATATATTCATTTAATAAACTAATATAATAGATATACACCTGCTAACATTTCATATATTAAAATTCCTAAACACCACCAGTCTACAGGTTTTCCATGTCCTTTATTAAGTAATATTTCTGGTGCTAAATATTCAGGTGTTCCACATAGAGTATAAGTTCTTGAATCACAATATTTAGCAAAACCAAAATCTGTTAATTTTAAATAACCATCTGCTCCAATTAAAATATTTTCTGGTTTTAAATCTCGATAAATGATATTTTTTCCATGTAAATATTCAAACATAGAAACACTATATATATATTTTTTTTAATTAAAAAATTTTAAAATACACTTATGCTGCATAAAATAAAGCTTCATTATTTTCTAAGTTTCCTTTGCTTCTTAAATAGGTAAACAATTCACCTCCTTATACGTATTCTAATACAAAATAAAGATATCTATCATCTTATGAAAAACCAAGCATTTTAATCTGATTTTTTTTATAAAAGAATAATAATTTTTTAATAAAAAAAAACCATTTTTGTTTTTACTAAAAATGGATGATTTATATTTGATAAAATAGTATTTTCTGATATTATATGATCCACTTATTTTAGACGCAAAATTTCAGCCTTTTTTAGCATTTTTAAAGCAACATATTCTCCTGAAGATTTTTATTTTGCAAGCCTTACTCTTCCGAATGAACCTTTTTATTTATAAAAATCGTATTTTTATTTATTTAATTTTTTTTTATGTTTATTCTGTTTTTTTTCAAACCTGTCCCTAATGTTTATAATACTTCGAAATCGTTTAATTTTATTTATTTTGACTTGAATGTTTCCATGGTTTTTTAATTTATTTTTAAATATATATTTTTATTTATTTATTTTTTTTTACTTTTTTGGAAAATAAAAACAAAACAAAAAAATTAAATTTTAATTAACCAATTTTTTTCATAATAATTAAAAAAAATAAAATAATTAAAAGCAAAAGAAAATAATAAAAATAGTTAATTATGTAAATATGTAAATATATTTATATATATGTATATATATATATAATAATTTTTCAATATAAAAAAAAAAAATATTTAACAACGAATTAAATTTGAAAATATACAAATTAAAATATATGAATAATAATTATTTATATTCTTCTAACAATTAACATTAATAAAGCTATTTATACAATTATTTCCTAAAACAATAAAACATTTAAAGATAAAAGCCCTCTGTATCCCCAATATAAAATAAAAGACAAAACTAAAACAATTAAGAAAGTTAACCATCATCCAAACCTCGAATAAATAATTTTTTTTTTTTAAATAATTAATAAACAATAAAATCGAGTTTAAACTCACATAAATAATCATAATAATACTAAGAATTTAATACAAAAATATTAAATAATAATAGTAACTTAATAGATTTAAATCTAAACAAAAGCAATTAATAATAACATAATGTAAAAATAGATAATCTATCGAATAATAACTCTTTTATTTCCATAAATTAATAATAATAAGAACCTAAATAAAAGCCTTTTTCTTTTATAAACTATGCATTGTTATAAGATGTTTAAACTAAAGAAAATTCATTTTAAAAAAGTATTTTTTATTAAAAAAAAATAAAAAAATAAACTATTTCTTTTTTGTTAAAGTAAAAAACTTAATCAATTAATCAAGAAACAATTCTATTATTTCTTAAAATAAAGATTAATTGCTAAATTCGAATGTTAAAGATTTATAAAATCATATGAAATAAAGTTTTTAAAATAAATAAACTATTAAATAACACTACTAACCTTTTAATTAAAATGATTTTACTTCTAATGTGGAAGAATTATAATAATAAAATAATAATTATTAAATTTAAAAGTCTAACTTTAATCTTTATTTTATTATCGGAAAAGGAGGATTTGGTAAAGTATGGAAAGTCGATAATAAAAAAACAAGAAAAATGTATGCAATGAAAGAAATGTCTAAAGCCTTGTAAGATAAAAATAAAAAAAATATAAAAATAAAAAATAAAATAGAATTATAACTAAAAAATCAATAAATTCTGTTTTAAACGAAAAAAAATTACTATCTTAATTAAATCATCCGTTAATTTTTTAATTTTATTTTTTTTTAATTAAGAAAATATAATATATTTAAACAGTTTTTTAGTTAATATGCATTATTCTTTCTAAGATAGAGATAATCTTTATTTAATAATGGACTTTATGGAAGGAGGTGATCTTAGATATCATATAGCAAAATAAAAAAGGTTTACAGAAGAATAAACAAGTAAAAAGATAATATAATTATTATTATTATTATTATTATTATTATTATTATTATTATTATTATTATTATAATTGTTTTTATTATATTATTATTATTATTGTTTTTTATTATATTTATTATTATTATTTTTTAATTAAAAAATTAAAAAAGAATTTTTCGTAGTAAATATATTACTTGGATTAGAATATTTACACAAAAGAAATATAATTCATAGAGATATAAAGCCTGAAAATTTAGTTCTTGATAATTAAGGTTATGTTAAGATTACTGATTTAGGAATTGCAAGAGATTGGAATCCTGATAATTAAAATGATACTTCAGGGACTCCAGGATATATGGGTAATATTTTATATTTATAAAACAAAAAAATATATATTTTAATATGATATTTATTTTTTATCTATTTTTATCTTTTTCAAAATTAAGCACCCGAAGTAATGTGTAGATAAAATCATACATTTGCAGTTGATTATTTCGCTTTAGGAGTAATAGCATTTGAGTTTATGTAAGGAAGGGTATTTATTATATATACATTTATTTTATTTAAAATTAAATATAGAGACCTTATTTAGGAAGATCAAGATAAGAAATAAAAAATCAAATTTTAGCGAAGAAAATACAAATAAAACAAAGTGAAATTCCAAACGGATGGTCTTTAGAAGCTGCGGATTTTATAAATAAAGTTATTTTTTTTTTGTTTATTTTATTGGAAAAAAAATTAATAGATGATTGAAAGAAAACCAGCTTAAAGATTAGGAATAAATGGGCCTGAGGAAGTCAAAAATCATCCCTGGATAAAAAATTTTCCTTGGAAATAATTATATAAAAAAGAATTATTAGCTCCTTTTAAACCTGTTATTTTTATATATAAAAATTGTATATAATTAATTAAAAATCAAAATTAAAATAAATATTATTGAATAAAACATAGTCATAAAAAGATAATTTTGATTTTAAATAATAAATATCAGTTGAAGATGAATAAGAATAATAATTAATTTAATAAAACACTATCTTATTAAGAAAACCTGAAGTTTAGAGTAATAATTATTATGTTTTTATTATATTATTAATTAAAAAAAATAATAAAAAAAAGGTCTCTTTGAAGAATATGATTTAGATAATACTTAAAAGTAAGATTTTAGTTAATAAGATATTATTAGTAGAAAATAATAAAATGATAAGCCATCTTTAATTAAAAGTAATAGAATAAATTATTTAGAAAACTATAAAATTAATTGAATATTAAAAGAAAAAAATAGATAAAAAAAATAAAAAAAATTAATAAAAAGTATATTAAAAAAAGATATATATAATTATGTACAAACAATATTTATATATATTTTTTAAAAAATAAAATAAAAACAACAAAGCTCAACAACATATAAAAAAAGGCTTTTTTTATATTTTATTTTTAATAATATTTTTCATTTACTTCGTTAAAGCAATTTTATATGCGCTTTTTAGTTATTCTTATGATATTTATATTTATTATTAATTAAGGATTAACTTTACTATTTCATAATGACTCCATCTACAGGCCACTTCTAATGGATATTCTTCGAAATCATTAATTTTTGATTTAATTTCAAAATTAACATTTATATTAATAAAAAAATTTACAATCTATATAACAAATATATAACTAATTTATTAATAAAAAAATTGAATAAAAAATATACTTTTATGTTTCCATTTTTGCAAGCTAAATACAAAGCATTTTAATTATTTGAATTTTATTTATTTATAATATGTTCAGGATCAGATGTTTCTCTAATGTTTCTATTTTTATATATATTTTTTAAAAATTTAATAAAATCAAAAAAAAAAAAAATCAAAAATAAAAACTTTTTAGGGTCTTAATTTAAAATCTAAGTTATCTTATCTATATCATCAACATTACCTCTTTCGGCTGCTGTAGTAATTTCTTCAATCATTCTAACTTATTTGAGAGCATTATTAACGTTATTGTCAACCTTATTTAAACTTTCTTTATCATTAATGTTTTATATTTATTCTTTGGCTTAAAATGATTAAAGATGAAATTCTTATTATATTTATTCCTTATTATTATTTATAGTAAACATATGTATATAATTTATTTCTTTAAAATTAAAAATATACACTTGATTATATGCTCCAAACTTAATTACTTTTAAGTCTTTGTATCGATTATACTACAGTGAATACTTTTTTGGCTTTTTCTAAAGGGGATTAATTTAATTAAATTTATTTTTTTTGTTCACTTTACGTTATTAATTATTTCATTTATTATGTTAGTAAATTTTATGTAACTATAGGATGTAATAGTTATTTTCTTTTTTGTTTGTTTGAAGTTATAAATTTTTATAATTATATATTATTTACGTTTGTAGTTTATTACTATCTTAGTTTGTATTTTAGCTTTTATTTTTATCTTCTTATATTTATTATAAATCTTGTATTATTGAATTTTCAGTCTTTTTATTCATGAAAAAAATACTTTTTTTATTTTAAATAATTTATTCTTCTTCTTCTTCTTCCTATTATTTTATTTTTTGTTCGCCTATTTTTAAATTTTAATCTTCTTATTGTTCTATTTTTGTGTTTTCTATGTCTTTTATTTCTTTACATTCTAATTCTGGTGTTTAATTTTTGATTTGTTGTTATGTTTGTTAATTTTTAACTGATATTGTTTATTGACTTTATTCGGATTTTTTTTCTAAACAAAATTCTTCATACATTAAATCAGTTGATTCTTATTTTTTTTATAAATTAAAATCTTAGCTTTTTTGCATATTTAAATTTTTATATTTTTATGAATTAGTAATTTCTTATTTTTACAGATTAAAATCTTCACTTACATTTTAGCCTTTATTTTCTAATTAACTAGTTTATTAAGAGCTTTCACTTATTAATAATAAATTTAAACCTTCAGTTTCATATTCTTGATATTTAATAAAATTAAATTAATTGTCTTAATCTTCAAAATTTTATTAGATATTAATGCTTTTTGATTTATCTTATATATTTTTTTTTATTAATAATGATGAAGCTATGTTAGTATTTTAAAATTAGTTTGTATCATTTTAAGTTCTTTCTTAATTAATATCTGTTAATATTTCTTAATTATTTTTATTCTTTTAAATATCTATTATTGTTTCTAGATTTTAAATCTATTCAATTTAATGTGTTTTTTTGTTTATTGCATCTAATTATTATTTTGGATAACAAATATTTTATTCATCAGTTTATTAAAAATTTTTATTTAATAGTTTATTTTAATTTGGGGGGATGTTTTAAATTTAATATGATATATTATTCGATATAAATGAATTTTCTTATTAATTTTTATACTAAAATTTATTTTATAAGTCCATTAATAAAAGGTTTTATTAATATATAAATACTAATTTTATTGATTTTTTTCAAATAATAGTTTTATTATTTTAATATATATACAAAAAAAAATGAATTAATTTAAATATTAAATATTATATATTACTTATTAATTATTTATTTAATAAATAATTTTATTTCTATTTGTTTAAACTTTGCTAACAATTTATTAAATAAAATTTTTAAATGTTTTAATATTCAATTAAATTATAATAACAATAAATTATTAGAGATATTATAAATTAATTGTAAAAAAAAATATTAAAAATAAGAATTTTAAATATTAAATCTTTCTACTAAATTAAGTTAAAAATATAAAATTAATAAAATTAAATATTATTTTAAATACAATCAATTTTTTTTAAATATTAATATAAATAAAATCTACATATAGATATAATTATTATTATTTATTTTAATTAATATTATAATATAATAAAAATATTAAAAATTATTCTCATTTTGCTTTTTTTTTTTTTTTCTGTATTTTTTTCATAAAAACTGAATCAATAAAATAAAAAAAATGAAAGAAAATGAATACAGCTTTTTTTTTATTGATATTTAAAAAAAAAATACGGAAACAATAAAAAATACAATATGAAAAAGTAATATTACATATTAATTTTATTTTATTTTTTTAAATAAAAATAAATCAATTAAAAAATTATTTAAAAAAAACATTTAAAGTCTTTAATTAACCAGAAGTATAAAAAAATGTCGAATTAAATATATAAATAGTATAAAAAAATACTCAAGAAAAAATAAATAAACAATAATATTTTTCATTTTAAAACATAAAAATATAATAAAATGATTTTCATTTTATATATTATGAACTAACTTGTTCAAAGTTTACATGATATTAAGAATATCTAAAAGTCTTACTTAAATCCATTAATTCAAGTTTAATTTTTCTTAAATTAGATCTACAAGCATTTTAAATTATTCCATCACTTGTATCTACATCATTATCTTATGTCTTTTATTTTTATTTAAATATATATTAAAAAAATAAAAAAAGAAATAATACATGAGATATGTATTTATCCTAAAATTCTTGAGGAACATTCATATCTTATTCTTTAAAGCATTTAAATTTATAATTTTTAGATTTATTATAGTTTTCAAATTCTATTATTTCAAAATTTTCATTTAATTTAATTTTTTTAAAGGATTTTCAGAGTATAATTAATCTTCAAGAAAAGATTAATTTTTTTATTAATTTCCTTTTGGCTTTTTTTAAATGAACTTTATTTTCTTACTTTTAAATTAAGGTCTTTTTAGCAATGCTTTTAGGAAGATTTTCCTGAAAAACATTCTTCTAAATTAAAAATACTTTTTTTTCCGTTTTCTTGAGAATTTGTGGAATTATTTTATGATTTATTAGAATAACAGGTTTTTATAGAAGTTATATTTTAATTAATTTATATATTCTTTGATATTTATTTTAATTTTAAAGTTTATTTGATACTACTTTCTTATAATTACATTTTTTGATATAATTAATTAAAATATCTTTTAGTAAATATTTTTTAAAAATAATTATATATAAAACATATTTTTAGTATTTTTTTTTTTTTTTTTTAATTGAAAATGCATTATAATTTTTAAGTTATTTTTCTTTTCATTTTAATTATTCTTATATTTTTTATTTTAGTAATATAAGTATAAATTCGCAATATAATTAGTTATTTAACCTTTTTAATATTTTACAATATATTTTATTTCAATTTATATATTTTTCTATTTCATAAAAAAGAAGATTATTCCGCACTTTATATATTATTTAAATTTTAAAAATGTTTTGTATTACTTAATTAAATTTATATTTTAAAAAAAAACTTACTATATCCTGATTTAAAAAAAAAAAAAATTAAATTATAAAATTACTTTTTAAAATAAAATAATTATTTTATAATATATATACCAAACTATTAAAAAATATTATTTTTAATTTATATTCACTTATTTAAATATTCTTAAGCTAATTTACTTATTATTTTTATGCTTTGTTAGTATAATGATTTATAAAGAAAAATAAATATAAAAACCCTTATTTAAATAAATTTTTAAAAAATAATTTTATAATGTTTTTATTTTATATAGCTACCCATAATATTAATGATAATTTTTTAGCAAAATATTTATATAAATAAATTTTGAAAAATATCTTGTTTAATATTAAAAAAAAGATTCGATATACACTTAGCTGTAACAATCATCATTACTGCTAAAATTCTAGATTTTTTTAAAAAATAATATTAACTAAAATTTTCTTTAATAATGTATTAAATGATTGAAATTAAATATAACTTGAGATTAATAAGCAAGTAAAAAAAAATTATATATATATATAAAATGTGAGATAAATATATTATATTAAATTTTTATACCATAAATTACTAATAGATATATATTTATTTAATAAATATAATAAATTTTCATAAATAGTAATCTAAAAGTATAATAATAATAAGATATTCTTTAATTATTTATATTTTTAAAAAAAAAATTTATGAAGATAAAAAAAAGAAACTATATATACATATATTTTATTAAATTTTAAAAAAGAAAAAAGTAAAAATAAAAAAAAATATGAAAAAAAAAATTGATGTATAAAATAAAAAAGTAATGAATATATTTTTTATTGTTAAATATAAATTTTAAATTAGTAAATAATAGATCTTAATATAGATATATAAATAATAATATGTTTATATATATATATATATATATATATATATATATTTATAAAATTATATTAATATATTGATATTTATTTATAAATCTTATATGTCTATTTTTATATTAATTTTTTTTTTTATATTTTTATATATATATTTTATTTTTATATAAAATTTCTTTTTTTTTTTATATTATATATATATATATTTTTTTTTTTATAATACAATTTTATTAGGATAATTTATATTATTATATAAATGATATTTATTTATTTTTTTCATTTTTAATATTTAGTAAAATAGTAGTACATAGGAATGTTATACAATATCTTTATTTATTATATATATTTTTATTTAATATTTTCATTATTTTTAGTCAATAAAAAAAGTAGATTTTTTTACATATGAAACATTATCTAATATAATATTATCAATATCTTTATTTTTTATTTTATATTTAAATACAAAGTTTCTTATTTTTTGTTATTATTTTATCTTATGAATTCTCATTAGGTATTT